TTTCACAATTATTTTAATATCTTTCAATTATTTCATCATTATTTCAATATCTTTCAATTATTTCACAATTGTCGTTCGCCACACAAACTAAACCACCGTCCCTCAACACCGTGAGGTGCCTAAACGTACGCCAAAACGCTGTGTTCTCCGTGTTGTGATTTAGAGATGGATTGCGAACCTCCAACAAAGAAAACATGATCTTTAAGTATTAGATGAGATTGAGGGATTGAAGCACAAAAACAATGCAAAAATGTATGCCACCAATTATGGGGTGAGATCACCGCCAAAATAGAATTATTTCAATATCTTTCAATTATTTTACCATTATTTCAATATCTTTCAATTATTTCACAATTATTTTAATATCTTTCAATTTTACATCATTATTTCAATATCTTTGAATTATTTCACAATTATTTTAATATCTTTCAATTATTTCATCATTATTTCAATATCTTTCAATTATTTCACAATTGTCGTTCGCCACACAAACCTAAACCACCGTCCCTCAACACCGTGAGGTGCCTAAACGTACGCCAAAACGCTGTGTTCTCCGTGTTGTGATTTAGAGATGGATTGCGAACCTCCAACAAAGAAAACATGATCTTTAAGTATTAGATGAGATTGAGGGATTGAAGCACAAAAAGAATGCAAAAATGTATGCCACCAATTATGGGGTGAGATCACCGCCAAAATAGAATTATTTCAATATCTTTCAATTATTTTACCATTATTTCAATATCTTTCAATTATTTCACAATTATTTTAATATCTTTCAATTATTTCATCATTATTTCAATACTTGAAGTTGTGAGCGTCGGTCGTTGGGTGATTGTCGTTCGCCACACAAACCTAAACCACCGTCCCTCAACACCGTGAGGTGCCTAAACGTACGCCAAAACGCTGTGTTCTCCGTGTTGTGATTTTGAGATGGATTGCGAACCTCCAACAAAGAAAACATGATCTTTAAGTATTAGATGAGATTGAGGGATTGAAGCACAAAAACAATGCAAAAATGTATGCCACCAATTATGGGGTGAGATCACCGCCAAAATAGAATTATTTCAATATCTTTCAATTATTTTACCATTATTTCAATATCTTTCAATTATTTCACAATTATTTTAATATCTTTCAATTTTACATCATTATTTCAATATCTTTGAATTATTTCACAATTATTTTAATATCTTTCAATTATTTCATCATTATTTCAATATCTTTCAATTATTTTACCATTATTTCAATATCTTTCAATTATTTCACAATTATTTTAATATCTTTCAATTATTTCATCATTATTTCAATATCTTTCAATTATTTCACAATTATTTTAATATCTTTCAATTATTTCATCATTATTTCAATATCTTTCAATTATTTCACCATTATTTTAATATCTTTCAATTATTTCACCATTATTTCAATATCTTTCAATTATTTCACCATTATTTCAATTATTTAATTAAGCCCTATCAATCACGTGTTACATTGAAAAAGAAAATTGCTGACTGTGTAGACGAGAGTGAAATAAGGGGAGTGATGGAAGCATGTTGTGATGCTGTGAATGCAGCTGCCCGTGCAGTTGAAACCCTTGATGATCCACTTCAATTTATATCCAACAATTGTAATCTGCCATCATATGACAATGTGGGTTATC